AATCATATAAGCTTTTTTTTTTTTTTATGGTTATTGCTATTATTTAAGGATTGGTAATCATTAAGCATTTATGTGTCAATATGAAGTCAACTAGGACAGATAATTCTATAGAAAATTTTAAAATAGCTATTCGTTATTAAGTTTTTTTTTCTTACGGTTATTGCGATTGGAATTGAAGCTAATAAGCATAATGTGTATAATAATTTATATTTGATATACCGTATACTATATATTGTAATAATGTTAATGTAGTCTTTTGAAAAATAAAGATTAGAAAATAAAAAAAATCGATAATCTACTACACAGTCTTCAGATTAAAATTAAATGTTGAAATATTGTTTTATTATATTTTTATCTGAATAATTAACTTAATCATAAAATATATCAGTATCAACAATTTCAGTTTAAATATTTGTATCGATATTTTTTGTTTGATATTTTTTGTACAAATTCAGAAAAAAGTATGGATTAACTATTCTAAAATATTATGGTTGGTCAGTATTGTACGTTATAGTGGCCCGTAATACGTTATGATTTGATGCATTTTTAAGTATATAGATTAAAGCATTCTTGAATATTGACAATATAACATGAGTTATCAAGCACACAGCTATTCGAATTTGATACTATTACAACATTATGATGCAATTTTTAATTATTTTTTTTTTTTAATGCTAAAGTATTATTGATTAATTTTCATAATATTAATATAAAGCATTACCTACGGATTCTTATTATCATCGCTCATACTTTTCTAAAATGATACCTACATTATCATCTCTACAATCGATTTTGTTTCAGGAAAAAAATTGCGTTAACTTCTTATTTAGTAAAGGGATTCTGTATAAACAGTCCATATATAATATATATAGTGCAAGGACGACAAGGCATGCCAAAGTTTTTTAATATAAAAAAAATAGTGCAGAAAAGCTGTATCCATTTTTAAGGACTCATTTTTTTCTATGGGTCGATTAAAAGCCAATGAAGTCCTTTTAATCAGATACTTTATAGCTTTCTAAAGCACTACATAATTTGATTATAGCTATCACGGGCCATTCGCCAAATACTATAACCATTTATATCAGTTTTTATAGATAAGAATAGAAATCGTTTATGATTTTTTTTTTTAAAAAAAAAAAACTTTGATTTTTTTTTTATACTTGCTGTTCTTAATGGATCATTAGTACTTTTCCTCAAAAATAAAAAAAATCTATTTACATACCGCTCCTGATAGGGTTTAAAAAATTATGCATTACCAAATAGTGTTGATTGCTACAAAGATGCAACTTAATTTTTACAGCTTATTTATGCTGTAATTATTACAAGATAAGTCATAAATACTATATTACCAAGATCATTTTCTATTGCGACAATAGGTCACAACCCTAGTCATGTTATAAAAATGTTGCACTTCATATTTGCAGCAAGCAATACTATTACCAAAGTAGTAAAAATGTGGTATAAAATTTGGCAGCCCTATTATACTACCCAATCCGATTATAATATATGTAATATATAAATTCAAATAAATAAAAATATCATATTTTTGCATAATAATTTCTATGGGCATTATTTCAAATTTTGGCTTAATTTGCCCAAAATTCGAAATTACATCTTTACACATTATTACGTGAAAATACAATAACTCACATTAGCAACTAAGCTTTGATCATTTGATAAATTTTCTAATATAAATATCCTTACTATTAATTATAGGTCTCTTGTTGGATTTAACGTTCAAGAAACACAGGATTAGATTGGAAGCCCGAATATTGTAGTAGAAATAGATGAGTCAAAGTTCGGCAGATGGAAATACAATTGTAGCCATCGTGTGGAAGGAGTTTGGGTCTTTGGTGGTGTAGAGAGAACCCCAGAGAGAAGATTATTTGCAAAGGCTGTTGATGACAGAACTGCTGAGACTCTACTCTCTCTAATTGAAGAAAACATACACACCAACTCTATTATCTATTCAGATCTGTGGCGTGCCTATACAAGAATAGATTCTGATTTAGAGATTAGACACCAAACTGTAAATCATAGTGCAAATTTTGTCAACCCCACTACGGGCACTCATACAAACACAATTGAAGGAACCTGAAATAGTATTAAAATTCAGGTTAGTAATATTAACCAAAAAAACATTCAATTTAAAATTTTTTAAATTCAACCATTAAGTAATTTTTGAATTCAATTAATTAAAATTATTATATTTATAAATTAATTAAAACATATATCAACTAATGCAACTAATTACCTATAGACACCAAATCACATCCAAGAGTATTATTTCAAATTATAGACTGTATTAAGTTTAATACAGGCCATAATTCGAAATAATACTCTTGGATGTTATTTTGTTTTTACTAGGTAATAAAAGTTGGTCTGATTACTCAATTGTTTTTTTTTTTGATTAGATTCCATCAAGAAGTCGTACAAAGTCTCATATTCCAGACCATTTATTTGAATTCATATGGTGACAGCAGTTCAAAGATAATCTTTGGAAGAATATGTTGGAGTATATGAAGAATATAGGATATTTTGATAAGAAAGTAGACAATACAGATGAAGAAAATGAGGATAAAGAGGACGAAAAGGATGAAGGAGAGAAAAATAGTAGAAATGAAGAAGGGAGAATGAAGGGAAAGAGAGAATGAGAGGGAAGAGAAAAATGAGGATAAGAGTAATAATGGGGATTGAAGTAATGATGGAGATGAAAATGAAGAGAAGGAGGATGAAGTGGAGGATGAAAATGATAATAGTGATTATGGAAATGATGATTATAATAATAAGGACGAAAATGATGAGAAGGATTGGTAAGATAGTAATAATAAAAGTGGTGAAAATATGTTAACATAAATATTAAATATTATTTAAAAATGATTAGAATAATCATTCACTTACCATAAATATCAGCGGCTATTTGAAAACTGGCACCTATTGGGTTTATCCAATATTATGAAGTATTCTCAATAATCATTGATTATAAATCATTATGCTATATTTTTATTTGAAGTTGTGTTCTAAATTTTACATTATAAAATAGTTTCTATACAACATAATTATTTAAAAAACAATATCTGATATTGTTGTATATAAAGCTTCTAGTTCTATATATATAAACCTTACAATACTCTCTTAATATTATACTTATTGATATCAAAAGTCTAAATCTACAACATCTATGCTATTTAAACTACTTTGTAAAATACTACCACTATTAAACTCGATAAGTAAATAAATTATTTGTAGATCAGAAGTGCATATTCAATTGATAACTATAAGTAAAAAAAAAAAAAAAAACTTTTTAAAAATTCCCATAGAATTATCTGTCCCAGTTGACTTCAAAATATCACATAAATGCTTAATAAATATCGGCTTCAACTCCAATCCTTAAATAATAGAAATTACTATAAAAAAAAAAAAACTTTAAATTAATACCAAATAGTCATTTTAAAAAAATTTCTATAGAATTACCTGTCCCAGTTGACTTTAAACAGCGCATAAATACTTTATGTTATCAACTTCAACTCCAATCCTTAAATAATAGCAATAATCATAAGAAAAAATTTTTTTTTAAAATTAATAACAAATAGCCATTCTAAAAGTTTCTATAAAATATTTTATTACTATTGTGATCTAATACTAGATCTTCAAGGGTTGTAAACCAAAGAGGTTATCTTCTTCTAGGAATTTTACAATGTTTTGGTACAATATGCTCTCAGTTAAGAAGACAAGAATTGTCATATATAGAGAGTTAATCTAAATAGAAAAGATGAAGTTTATGAAGTTGCTTCTTAAAAGACATATAGTTAGGATGTGATAAGAGTATTGATTCAAGAGATATAAAGCCTTCTTGAGGAGTATATAGAATCAAATTAAATATAGTATAGCTTACTCTGGCATTTTTAGAAATTTTGCTGTGAAATTAGTAAGATTAGTTACGTAATATGATCAGATCAAGCAACAGATTTACAATGGATCAAATATAGAATATTGTAACTCCGTATTACAGTAATTAAAAATTATTCAGTATACAGTATGTATATATGTATGTATGTATATGCGTACATATTATATACTTTAAAAAAAACTTTATTTGATCTTGCATAATGAACTTTGGATTTAATGAACTTTGGATTTAATGAACTTTGGATTTAATAAACTTTGGATTTAACAATCTTGACATCATAAAATTTTTTTTTTTTATAATAGTTCGGTATAAAAAGAGCTGAACATTTTTTTTTCTTACTCCCAGAACTATTAGTTCATATAGAGAGTTGATGGTACTTAATCAGTACAGTCTAAGATAAGAAAACTCCAGGTTAAAAAGTGCTCAGATAAGAAAACTCCAGGTTAAAAAGCACTATAAGTGCTGAAAATCAAAAGGGAAGTTGAAATTAAAGGTTTAAAGAACCTCCCTGGTCAAGATCTCAAGTAATAAAAAAAAACTTCTAGCCGTGATTAGAACATGGTTACTAAAATAGTTTTTTTTTGTTTTCTAAAGTGCAATTAAAGGCTTAAAGAACCACCCTAGTCAAGATCTCAAGTAATAAATAAAAACTTCTAGCTATGATTGGAATATAGTTACTAAAATAGTTTTTTTTTGTTTTCTAAAGTGCAATTAAAGGCTTAAAGAACCACCCCGGTCAAGATTTCAGTTAGTATAAAAACTTCCAGCTGTGATTGGGACAATGTCATTACTAATGTTTTTTTTTATTTTTATTTTTCTAACACTATAAGGGTCAAAAGTCGAAAGAGAAGTTGGAATTAATGGTTTAAAAAACCATCCCAGACAAGATCTCAAGTAGTAAAAAAAACTTTCAGTCGTAATTGGACAATGTCGTTCTAATTATTTTTTTTTTCTGGTTATTGCTATTATTTAAGGATTGAAGTCAAAAAGTATAAGCATTTATTCATTATTTGAAGGAAATGAGACAGGTAATTCTGAGAATTTTTAAAATAACTATTTTGTTATTAATCTTAAGTTTTGTTTTTCTTATGGTTATTGCTATGATTTAAGGATTGGAGTTGAAGATGATAAACATAAAGCATTTATTCTCTATTTGAAGTCAACCAGAACAGATAATTATGTAGAAATTTTTTTATTTTTTTTGGTTTTAAGGTAACCTCTTGGTCGATTCTCTTTATTCAGTTATTAGTCAAGTTTTACCGTATGCTAAGCCCCTTACGACACCCGTACAGTATACATATTTTGGAGAGTACAAACTAGCCACACGTACAACTTTTGA